TTTGTGGAATATCTCTCTGCATCTAAGGAAAGCCACTGAGACCAGGTGTGTTTCAGGGGTGTCCCTGAATGGAAGCCCATAGAGGCCATTGTGTGAAGCTGTGAAGGTGAAGCCTGGGTTGCATTGGAGACCCCAGGAGGCCAGAGTCATAGGATACTTGCCAAGGAGAGCTACAGACCAGGTGTGGAACCAGCCCAACAAAGTGTGTTGCAGTCAACAAGGTTGAAAGGAATTGGAGATATGAAGACAGGGCAAAGTTTCCTCCATCTTGTATTCTTTCTGAGACCATTTCAGGTTTAAATGGAATTTGATCTCCTTGATGGAGCATCCCTCAGAAAATTATCTGATTCTGTCCTAGGAACCCAAGGTCAGGATGTCCTAGCTAACTTGGCTTCTGTTAAACTGCTTGTCCCACTCCTCCAAGCTGTCAAGTGAGATGCCAGGTTGTGGTTTCTGCCTTCAAAAAGTTTGTGTTCTGGACACTCAGAGTCACATATGGGTCCCCAAATACTTGGGTGTGGTCCCAGCAGGCTGGAATAAAGACTTTCAGTTGGTTAAACTGTGTCTGAGTGGTCTTTTCTGGTGGGCTACCAGTAACATTCAGACACGGAGAAGCAGAATTTGGAGTTTGCTCAGCTGGTTTTCAGTCTTGCTTTGGCCCAGTATTTCCTAAGTAAGCGCCGGTGCCTCCTTTTGGAATGGTAATGTGTGTTCTATGCCATTGTATGTTGGAAGTATGTGATCTGCTTTTTGATTTTGGTTTTATAGGGGATTACAGTTAAGAGATCACCATGAATCTCAAAAGAGACTTTGAACTTTAAAGATTTTTAGACAGAGTATTGAGACTGGTAGTCTATGGGGACTTTTGAAGTTTGTCTGAATGCATTTTTGTATTATGATATGGCTACAAATCTATGGAGATCTTGGAGGGGAATGTGGTGGTTTGAATATGAATGGCCATCCTAGGCTCATATATTTGAGCATTTGGGCCACAGGGGAGTGAGACTGTTTGATAGGATTAGGAGAATTCAGAGGTGTGGCCTTGTTGGAGGAAATACATCGCTGAGGGTGGGCTTAGTCTCTCTCTCTCTCTCTGTCTCTCTCTCTCTGTCTCTGTCTGTCTGTCTCTGTCTCTCTCTGTCTGTCTGCTCTGTCTCTGTCTCTGTCTCTGTCTTTCTCTCTCTGTCTCTGTCTCTGTCTTTCTCTGTCTCTGTCTTTCTCTCTCTGTCTCTGTCTTTCTCTGTCTCTGTCTCTCTGTCTCTGTCTCTCTCTCTCTCCCTCTCTCTCTCTCTGGATCAGGATGTAGCTAGCAGCTACTTTTCCAGAGGCATGCATGCCTCTGTGCTCTCTGCCATGATGATAATGGACTAAACCTCTAAAGCTGTCAGTAAGCCCCTAATTAAATACTTTCTAAGAGTTGCCTTGGTCACTGTGTCTCTTCACAGCAATAAAATAATGACTAAGACACCCCTCCATCCCCAGTCAAAACTCCCCTTTCTGCTGACCTATTCCCTTAATTCTCTGCTTTCTGCTTTGTGGCAGCTAACTCTTCCAACACCTCAGCCCACTTGGCTTTTTTAATTGTATGTTACATGCTTATTCCAACTAGCCATTCTAGATATAGTGATGTGCACTAGGGATTGGTTAAGAGGACTTTATCAACAACGTTCTGTAGTGACACAGCATTTCCTTATCTGCATTCAAGTAGTGGCAGCCCCCAAATCATGCCATGGTTCTGCTTCATTAAACAGAATTGTTTAGGTTCAAAACACTGTAATTGAAGACAGTAAGGAAGATTCCTATCTACTTTTGGGAACATTTTATTTCCTATTTTGTTTTGGGAGGACATAACTGCATTTTCTCCATGAATAAAATCTTTTTCTCTCCTATACATTACTACCACCAGTATTTCTAGTTGCCTTTACTTTCACGTTAATTTTCTTTATCTTTCCCCCCATTCCATTCCACTTTCTGTGATCTCGTTTTGGTCACATTTTGGCAGTCTATTGGGAATTTCATTTGGGGATTATTTTTACCCTACTCAAAGCATATAAACCATACTGAAGCCTGTTATTTGTCAAAAGGAGGTCTGAATCTGAAACTAAAATAACATGTAGTATAATGTTATATAATTTGAGTGGTATTTCAGTTTTGTTTTCCACAGTAACTGAACCCCCCCCTTTATTTTTCTAGCAAAGAACCAATTTGTCAGGAATTTCCCATTTCAAAGTTATCATCTCCTGTGATGGGGACTTGTTATACGAGTAGCCTGAGAGGAAGACACGTCTTTTATACTTTAAAACTAGACATCACTTAAGAACTGCTTCTACTTACCCCAAATTCCTTCCCTCCAAAAAGGAAATGAACAATACTTAGTAGTACATTCTATGTTTTTTTTAAACTCCAGTCCCAGGTAAAGGAAGGGAGTTTTTCTACATGTTTTTTGTTCCTAGAAACAACAACAGCAACAACAAAAATTCAATGTCCTTAGTGGCATCACAGATAGGGCAGACAGTTGTTTGGATAGTAGATGTGGAAATAAAAATAATAGTAAAAAGATACTGAGTTGACTAGATTCAAAAATGTCACATGTCCAACCCCAGCTGTAGGAAGATGTTCTTGAGCTGGTAAGATGGCTCAAAAGGTAAAAGCACTTGCTCTGCAAGCACAAGATCAAATCCCCAATGACCATGTAAAAAGCTGGCTATAGTTGTGTGTGTGTGTGCCAGCTCTGGGCAAGGGTAGAAGGCAGAGACAGGTGGATCCTGGGAGGCTGGCCAGCCAGCTTAGCCAAAACAGGGGGCTTCGATTCAGTGAGAGACCCTGTCTCAAGGCAATAAAATGGAGAATAATAGAAGAAAACACCTGAAGTACTGCTCTGGGTGCGCACACACACACACCAAGCAATAACAGACATTATTTCTTCGAACCCAACTCTAATCTCAAGTAAAGGTCTGAGAATCTGTAAAGTTGCATGGAGTTGAGGTGTCTGTTGGTAGATCTGTGTAGTATAATGGGTAATACTACCGTTAGCATCAAGAAGAATAAGTACCCAAGAACTATTTACTACCACAGAGGAAGGATGTCTTAGCCAGTGCCCTATCTCTGTGAAGAGACACCATGACCATGGCAATTCTTATAAAAGAAAGCATTTACTGGGGCTGGCTTATAGTCTCATAGGTTTAGTCCATTCTCTGCATTACAGGGAGGATGGTGACATGCAGACAGATGAGGTACTGGAGAAGCTGAGAGTTCTACATCCAGATCCATGGACAGCAAGAATAGAAAGACACTGGGCCTGGCTTGGGCTTTTGAGACCCCCAAGTCCACTCCCAGTGACACACTTCCTCTGAAACACCACACATACTGCAATAATCCCTCTCGGGTGATACCACTCCCCCAATGACTAAGCATTCAAATATAGGAGCCTGCGGGACCATTCTTATCCAAAGCACAAGGGATTTATGATGTAAGCTGTTAGGAGCTAGAAAACAAAACAAGAAAAGAGTATGAAGACTAGAGAGAGGATATGCATTCAGCAAATCATCATAATTTATTAAAGAGATTCAGAATGCAAATTACCATGAATCCATGCTACCAAAAGTAGAAACTGAATACACATGTGTATGTGTGCGCATACATACTGGAGGAACAGAACCCAGAATTACCAGTCCTTCCACCACCTCAGATGACAACACTATTAATTTATAGCAGGCAACCTAAATAGCAGCTTGTATTTAAAATTGATACACAAGCCTGTCTGTAGCTGTTTAGGGCTGCCTAAAAAGAACAAGAAGAATTTCAACTGCTACTGGCAGAGTTGCTGTGGTAAAATTTATTCAAGATGATTCTGTCCATTATGAAGTGAATGAATGCATTTATGAATTCAGATGTCTGTTTATGCAAGCAATCAAGTACCGTGACTAAACACTGTCTTCCGTATAATGCTGTGCTCAGTATTTAGTAGGCTGTGTAATCTTGGATATCCATCTGTAAACTGAAGATAAATGGTCACATTAGTAACCTGATAGGTTGAGATGGGGACTAAGAATTAACATTTAAAACACCTGGAAGAGCTTTTGGTACAGAGTAAGTGTCCTGGAACTCACTCTGTAGTCCAAGCTGGCCTCAACTCAGAAATCTGTTTGCCTCTGCCTTCCTCTTGCTAGGATTAAAGGCGTGAGCCACCTCAGCAGACTCCTGCAGACTCATTTTCAAAGGCTCAGCTGTCTCTTTATTGGTTTTTTTTTCAGTATATAGGGTATCTTATTTCACCCAGTTGTGGCAAATTAAGAGTTGGAAGAATGGGAGGGACCGGCTGAAGCTTTGAGGTAGAAAACCTCATATCACTAACTCTTTTTTTTTTTTTTTTTTTTTTTTTTTTTTTTGGTTTTTCGAGACAGGGTTTCTCTGTGGCTTTGGAGGCTGTCCTGGAACTAGCTCTTGTAGACCAGGCTGGCCTCGAACTCACAGAGATCCGCCTGCCTCTGCCTCCCAAGTGCTGGGATTAAAGGCGTGCGCCACCAACGCCCGGCTCATATCACTAACTCTTAGGCTTATCATCAATAACAATATTTCGAACTTTGAATCACTCTGGAAAACAGAGTATGCCTTCTTGAATTTCTTCCTCAGGTAACTTAGACCCGCTATGATGTGAACACGAGATGTGCATATCATGTTATTGTCGTCAATCAAAATTTTAGATAAACCTTGTACAATTCCTTTTCTTATGAGGAACCACGCTCCAAATCCACGCCCTGCCGAGAGGCGAAGCTGCAAAGCAACTCCCGGCCTGGAGGGTTTCACTTAGAGTTGGTTGTGCTGCATGGTGTGCAAGTGCCCGACGTCACTGTGTGCATCCTAGGGCCACCTAGACTGACAGGGACAGCTGAAGCCTCCAGCGTTGCCCAGGAGTGACAGGGACAGCCGAGGCGCCGAGTTTTGCCGAGCGCTGCCGAGAACTGACAGAGACAGCCGAGTGTTTCCGAGGGCCGCCGAGCGCTGACGAGCCCGACTGAGGGCCGAATAGAGCCGCTCGTAGTACGCCCGCGGCATGGGGCCGGGGCTAGAGCGTCCGGCCGAGCCGGGCACGAGCCGCGCCGCCCAGCTGGAGCCGCTGAAGCAGCGCGCGGCCGAGCGCATCGACGAGGCGGCCGAGCGCCTGGGCGCGCTGAGCCGCGCCATCTGGAGCGCGCCCGAGCTGGCTTACGAGGAGCACCGCGCGCACCGGGAGCTCACCCGCTTCTTCGAGCGCGAGCCCCCGGCCGCGTCGTGGGCCGTGCAGCCGCACTTCGGGCTCGCCACCGCCTTCCGCGCCGAGTGGGCGCCGCCGGGGGCCGCGGCGGGGCCGGGCGCGCTGCAGCTGGCCTTCCTGTGCGAGTACGATGCGCTGCCCGCCCTGGGCCACGCCTGCGGCCACAACCTCATAGCCGAGGTCGGGGTGGCCGCGGCGCTGGGCCTGCGCGCCGCGCTGGAGGGTGTCGCCGCGCCACCGCCTGTCAAGGTGAGCCACGCCGGGCCGCGGCGGCGTCTGTCGGCGGTGCGGACCCAGCCCGGAGGACCAGACCGGTTATTTTGGGTGGCAGACAGCCGCAGTTTGCTGGCTAAGTTGTGCGATCTCTGGACGGAGTAAAAGTGGTAGACTCAAAGGATTTTGATTTGAGTGATCGGTGTCGTACTTTTCAGTCTTGCGAACTGCCAGACTCCCAAACCTCTGCAAAAGAGTCGAAATAACGGAGAGGCGAATAAACAGTTACTACGTAGATGGGTTCATATTTAAGTGCTAATCTTTATTCCACAATTACAAGAAGCGTCTCTGTTCTTTACGCAGAATGCTTTGCACGTCTGTTTTGTGTTACTCTACTCTTTCAGGTGGTCTAGTGATTTCTTCGTCACTCAGCGGGGTCTCCCACCCCCAGGGAAAGTAATCCTCCACAACAGCTCATCTCGTGGCCCTTTCTCTTTAGCTACCTTCTCTTTTAGGCCTCTGGGTTTTTGTTTTGTTTGGGAGGGTGTGAGACCCTGGACAAACTTAGTCGGCAATAACCCATTAGAGAAGAAGAGAGTAGCTCAGTGGCCAGGCGTGGTGATCTAGGTTAGTCGGGATTTCATTGAGAGACCCTGTCTCAACGCCTCCCCCGCCCCCAGAGCAGTTCAGTTTAAGAGTTTGCATAAATTTAAAAACAAACACAGCCAGACGCTGAGAAATTTGCCGACTTCAAATGGTTGTGGAATATAAGTGGACTCCCTTTGCAAGTAAAGCCATTCTTTTTTACCCCAGCTTGTTTCATTGTATTTTTACATATGACCTTGAGAATACATTAATTTTACGCAGATAATTTGCCTTTGCTTTAAAAATTGTTTGAAGAAGTTAAGCTTAAATATCAAAGTAAAATATTTATTCTGTAAAGTTCTCTTTTGTTTGATTAGGTGTTTGGTGACCATTAAATCTTCCTGGTTGAACTGGTGGAGTCGAATTAGTAAGTTTGTGAAATAGTTGGCGGTTTCTAACCATGGTACAGAGATAGTTTAATGCTCGTCAATGACAGGTTAATGAGTTAGGACTTACTAAGTGGTTTCTCAGTAAGGAATGAGAGTTCCAAGCTGAGGGCCAGGACAGCTCTTTAAGATAACTGCAGCTCTGAGCACTTGCTCTGTAACTGGGAAGCCTAAGCCTCTCTGAACTGGTACAGACTGTTTCCTTAACTCACAGTTTGTTGTGAGGGTCACAGGTCACGTGCAAGCTCCTTACCAGTAAAGCTATGACTAACTATATACCTATACAGGCTTATCGTGAAGAGACTTTAACAGAATAGTCCTAGCAATGTTGACGAACCTAAGTATATAGAATTCTACTTTTTTTTTTGTCTTTGTTATACCTTAGTTAAAATTGAGTTATAAAACTGGGGAGATTTTCCTATAGCTTTTCTAGCATGCATTTAGACCAGATTACTATAACAATACAAATTAAAATTTTTGACTCTTCACCATATATTTTAATTCACTGTGTATGTGTCAGAGTTTAAGGAATTAAGTATGCATATGAATGCTTATGCACTAAAACCTATTTAATGTTTTCCTGTTCGGAGTCTCCTTGTGCTAGCATATGTATTTCCTCATAGGTCATTGTCCTGGGGACCCCTGCAGAAGAAGACGGTGGTGGCAAGATTGATTTAATTGAAGCCGGTGCTTTTAAAGACCTCGATGTTGTTTTTATGGCTCACCCGTCCCAGGAGGATGCCGCCTATCTGCTGGATGTGGCCGAGCATGAGTGAGTAGTCACAGGAAGTAGTTTCCTGGCAGACAGCAGACTGGGGGGGGGGCAACTCAGAGCTAGGGCAGTGAGATGGTTTCGTGGGTAGAGGCACTTGCGATGTAAGCATGGTGACCCAGGTTCTGTCGCAGAGCCCGCATCACATCGGAGCACACGAGTTGTCCCACTGCATGCCCACCCCCACGGACACAATTTAAAAAAGCAAAGGAAACTAAGGCGGACACTCACACGCTGCATTATACATTTAAAAAGTGAAATGACCTGAGCATGCTATAATCTCATTGCTCAGAAGGGTAAGGCAAGAGGAGTGTGAGTTTGAGCCAGCGTGGACTGCACAGGAGGGCCCTGTGAATTGGATGATAATGATGTGATGTTTGATTTACATTGAATGACCTTTGGCAATCATTTGTTACTATGGTTATAATTGAACAATTGAAGGAATATTAAACAGGGATATCGAACTGTAGCACAAATTCTCTTTGGTCTTAATAATAAAAACTCAGAGTCAGATATTGGGGTTCATGCTGGAGATCAGAAAAGCAAAGCGGCCAGCCACTCAGGAGCTCTTACCTCTGCCAGTGCTCAGAACAAAGGGGTGATCCTGTCCTCAGAGGGCATCCTCACACTGCTTAGACTGCTCTGCTCCTCAGACTGCTTAGACTGCTCTGCTCCTCAGACTGCTCAGACTGCTCAGACTGCTCTGCTCCTCTGACTGCAATGCTCCTCAGACTGCTTAGACTGCTCTGCTCCTCAGACTGCTTAGACTGCTCTGCTCCTCAGACTACTTAGACTGCTCTGCTCCTCAGACTGCTTAGACTGCTCTGCTGCTCTGACTTCTCAGACTGCTCTGCTCCTCAGACTGCTCTGCTCCTCAGACTGCTCTGCTCCTCAGACTGCACTGTTCCTCAGACTGCTTAGACTGCTCTGTTCCTCAGACTGCTCTGCTCCTCAGTCTTCACTGCTCCTCAGACTGCTTAGACTGCTCTGTTCCTCAGACTGCTCTGCTCCTCAGTCTTCACTGCTCCTCAGACTGCTTAGACTGCTCTGTTCCTCAGTCTTCACTGCTCCTTAGACTGCACTGCTGCTCAGACTGCACTGCTCCTCTGACCTCTGGCTACACTGCTCCTCAGACTGCTTTGACTGCTCTGCTCCTCAGTCTGCACTGAGCTCCTATATCCTCCTACCTTATGTTCCTCTCTCGACCCAGCCATATCACTCCTGTCTCCATCTCCCTAGTGCTGGGATTAAAGGCGTGGGATCCCAAGTGCTGGGATCACCTTTGTGTGAGCTCTGTTTCTCGTTTAGATAGATTCAATCTTGTGTGGCCCAAGGTGGCCTTGAACTCATATCCATCTACCTCTGTTTCCCAAGTGCTGGGATTAAAGGTGTGCATCACCATTGCCTGGCCTCTATGGCTAACTGGTGTGGCTTGCTTTGTACTCTGATCCTCAGGCAAGTTTTATTTGTTAGATCATAAACAAAATATCACCACATCAAACACATGTGTTCTCTTTTGAATTTAGTCTGGTTTCTGGAAAACAGTTGTCCTTTCATAAGGAATCGCCTTTACAAGGGACAGTTTTATCAGACCTGGGAAGAAAGCGCTTTTCCATACTGTGTTTAGCTTGGTTTTATGGAACTGGAGGAGGTTATTCTTTTGTAGAAGGATGCGTCATTGAACTGGTGTGGACTTTTAACCACAAATGAGGGGGAGAGAAGTTGTGTGGTTAGTGGTCCAGTCCCAAGGAGCCACTGCTAGGCTGTGTCAGCTAATTTCTGTGGTGGCCGAGACTCTGGGGAGCAGTAATAGAACCATCCCTACAGTGTCATTGTGCTCAGGAATTTCTCTGAGCCCCAGCATACCCTGTTTTCAGAGGGTAGTAATTTTAATTGTTATATCTTCATTCTTATCAACTTGGAATCAGTACTGTGAGAGTAGAAACAATTCACTTTATGAGGGGGGTAGATGTGGTTTTATCTGTGTATTAGAGATTCCAAATCTTTGCTAGTACTTCTGACTAGAGGGTGTCTGCAGGCTGTAGTCAGGTTTCCCAGAGTATCAGGATTAGATTTAACACTCATTGGCTTGATCCTGAAGTCAATCGACTTACTCCGCATATCCTGCCCCTCAGTGATGGTCTGATGTCCTGGAACTCAATGTGTAGCGGATGTTGTCCTTGGACTACTGGTTCTTCTGCCTCTACTACCCCAGTGCTGGAGATGTGTGCCTCCATGTCTTGTTTGTGTGCTTCTGGGGAGTGAGTGAGCCTAAGACTTCATATATGCTAGGTAGGTAAGCACTCTGACGTCTGAGCCATGTTCCCAGCACAGCCTTTCTGGTTTTGTTTGTTGATTTGAGTATTATGTAGCCTAGGCTAGCCTCAAATTTGCTATATAGCTGAGGATGACCTTGAACTTCTGATCCTCTTGCCTCCCTGTGCTGGGATTGCAGGTTTACACCATTCTATTTGGTTTTATGGTGTGCCAGAGATTGAGCCTGGGCTGCATACATGATAGGCAAGCATCTGTCAGTTGAACTACACCTTTGGTCACACACACACACACACACACACACACACACACACACACACACACACACACACACACCCCTAACTGAATTTTCTCATTTTAGTGATAATGGAGGAAGAAATACCCAGTGATTTCTTCTTTTATTTCCTAGTGTTACTGTGAAATACTATGGAAAGGCATCTCATGCTGCTGCTTACCCTTGGGAGGGAGTCAATGCCTTAGATGCTGCAGTTCTCGCCTATAACAATCTCTCTGCATTAAGACAACAGATGAAGCCAACCTGGAGACTTCATGGTATACATGAAAAATATTTGTGTAGTAAATGGAACTTACTATATCTTAGTGCAGTAAAATTATTTAATACTATAAATATATAGTTTGTTGTTGTTGTTTTAGTTGAGGGGTGAATCTCTGACTTCAAAGTCAGCCTGGTCTACAGAGTGACTTCCAGGATGGCCAGTGGTAAACAGAGAAACTCTTGTCTCCGGAAAAACAGAAAACAACAACAATAATAAAAATTGGGGGTTGGGGAATGTAGTTCAGTTAGTAGAATGCTCACCTAGGATGGGTATGATTCCAGCATTGCATAAAACCTGGCATGTGCCACATACCTGTAATCTAGCACTTCAGATCACAAGTTCATGATCACCCTCAACCACGTGTAACTATGAGGGCAACCTGGGACAACTGAATCCTTTCTCAAAGAAAAAAAAGTGGTGGTTACTAATTTTACTTACTCAGGGACATAGTACACTCTTAAAATTCTGTGTATATAAATGCAGTAGCACAGTCTTCTCCTAGGGTACACATTTCCTTTTTCCCAGTCTGGGATTACAGGCATGAGCCACCACACTGATTTATAATCCTCCCTCCCTCCCTCCCTCCCTCCCTCCCTCCCTCCCTCCCTCCCTCCCTCCCTCCCTCCTTCCCTGCTTCCCTTCTTCCCTCCCTCCCTCCCTCCCTCCTTCCTTCCTTTCTCAGTTTCTTTATGATCTAGGAAATTGTGCTTTTTTTTTTTGTTTTGTTTTGTTTTTCGAGACAGGGTTTCTCTGTATTGTTTTGGAGGCTGTCCTGGAACTTGCTCTGTAGATCAGACTGGCCTCGAACTCATAGAGATCTGCCTGTCTCTACCTCCCTAGTGCTGGGATTAAAGGCATGCGCCACCATTGCCTGGCTGGAAAATGTGCTTTAATCTCTATTTTTTACTCAAGTTTGCTATATGCTAAATTGTTTTGTAATTATGCTTTTTTGAGTTTCTTGCCCTAGTGTTCTGGTTGTGGGTACAGTTGGTTTGAGATGGGCTCTCACTGTGTCGTCCAGGCTGTCCTTAAATTCAGTCCTTCTGTGTCAGCATCCTGTATGCACCCAGCATACAGGCCTAACCCATCTTGCTGCTTGCTTTAATTTCCTCAAAAGGGATCGGAGAGGAAAAATTTAGATGAGGGGAATTCAATTTCTTTCTCTCTCTCTCTCTCTCTCTCTCTCTCTCTCTCTCTCTCTCTCTCTCTCTCTCTCTCGTGTGTGTGTGTGTGTGTGTTTAAGATGAGATCTCCTGTAGTCTAGGCTGTAGACAAGGATTACCTTGAACTCATGATCTTCCTGCCTCCTTCTCAAGTGCTGGGATTATAGAGTTGCACAACTGACTGGAATTAGACACTATATATCTGCTTTAGTTATTGGTAGAAACAAATCTTCATTTTGTGTGGTCCCCCAAAAATGTGTGTTTTGATAGTTTGTAGTATTCAGGGGTCTTTGACTCTTTTCTCTACATGGTTGTATCCAAAAGACAGAAGTATTTCTCCACTGCTAAATGTAATTTAAAATATTTGTAGGGATTTTCAAGTAAGATGGTAGGTATAGAGCCTAATGCCATTGTAAAAAAATTTTGTCAAGAGTTTATCAAATTGCACAACTGTAACAAAGCCTACTGAGACAAATTTGCTCCAGAAAGTTTAGGATACTACTGTTTGTTTTGTGGTTATATAATTCTGTATTTCTTTGTAATTTAGATTACAATCTTTCCCTCTTTTCTTTTTCTTTCTTTACATTTCTGGGAATTAAACCCAGACTCTCACACATGCTAGTCAAGTCTTTGTTGTTGAACTTTATCAAACTCTGCCCAAATTGTAATTTCTTAACATTAAATAGATTCCTTAGAATAGAGTACATACAGACAATTCTCTTTATTAGCTGGGAAATATCACCCCTCTGTGGAAGTATTGTACAGTATGTCAAAATCCTTGGTTTACCTGTGAAACTAATAAGTATAAATTATTTTCCTGTTTGTACTGGCTACAAAATTTTCTTTAAACAAATCATCAAATTTAACTTTAGTAATTTGGTTCTTTTTATAGGTATAATAAAAAATGGTGGTGTAAAGCCCAATATCATCCCCTCTTACTCTGAATTAATCTATTATTTACGTGCACCCTCGATGAAAGAGCTTCAGGTTTTGACCAAAAAGGCAGAAGATTCCTTCAGAGCCGCAGCTTTGGCTACAGGCTGCACAGTGAGTGTTTTAGAGTTAACTGTGACGGCTACATGTGGACTGTGCTGTTTGTGTGACTGCATTAATGTGGTGCCAGCGCCACAAGCAACTCCAGGGTATCAGGAAAAGAGAGACCAGACATCCAGCTGTTTGTACTAAGAGAATGCATGTGTTGCCTTTATTGCCAGGAGAGAGTGTGTGTGTGTGTGTGTGTGTCTGTCTTCATTACAAGTGCTAAGAGGTCTCTCCCTTGTAGGAGGGAGGAGCTTTATATACATGTTTACAGCACAGTGGAAAAACCCCAGGTAGAAGAGATCCTTGTTTTCCTCCTGCTAGATGTTGATGTCAGAGGGTCAAGGCCAGGGCAGTAAGCCAGGACTAGAAAACAGAAAGCACTTGGACTGGAAAACAAGTTGCACTTGTAAGCTGACCAGCAACTCACAGAGACCCCATGGGGCTGGGGCCCAACACATTAAAGCCTGCCTTGGTTCTTTTCCTGTGGTCATCTTTGTTTGTGCCAGTGGTGGCCCTGGGGGCCTGTCTCGGGACCTTGCCCTCACTGCTGATGTCTTGAATCTCTAAAATGAGTTGGCTAAACTTTTAATGTGAATCCTTTAACAAACATTTATTATTTAATTAATACTTCAATTACTGTTTAATTAATATACATTTTCCTCAGTGTCTGCAGTAGAAAGTACTACAGGTCACCTTACTTAGACAGTAGCCAGCGTACTTAGCGTACTCCTGTGCTAGAATCCCTGTCTTTTTACATCACATTGTGTAATTCCCATAGAGGGCGTTTTATGATAATACTTGTATATCTCTTTGGCAAAGATGTGATATGAATGTGTGTTTGGCTTGCTGAAATGGAAGTTAAGATAGACTCAGAACCAAGGAGACTTTGCTGTCTGGAACTGTAAAGTCAGAAACTTTTCACTATCGGCCATGTGTGCTGCAACGTGGGATGAGGCTTACAGTTTCATGGGGAGGCAAGATCTTAGATGTTTTAGAGAGAACATAAACATCAGAAACATAGTATCTCTGGGGCCATTTCCCTCTCAAAAATAAGGGTAAAATGAAGTCTCTCCAGGTTTCTCGTGAGAGACAAATGAAGTAACGCCTGTGAAGAGGTCACAGCCTAGCCTTCCTTTTGTTCTGTCCCTGGTCTAGCAGTATGTGGTTTGTTCCCGTGGTGGTAGTGTCTCAGCAGTTATCCTCATAATGTCTACTTCTTCAGAATGGACAGTGTTGGGAGGAACAGCAGTTAAGAAAGTTTCAGGTCAGCCTGGCAAACACAAGACCCTGGGTTCAGTTCCCAGGTGGTGGGAAGGGAGGAGAGGGTTTCCTGGAAGACTGCAGACGTAATTGAGCTTTGAAGGATATCATACTTGAGGTGTATGAACAACAGAGAGACCTAAGGCAGGGAATGTAGTTGGAAAGATGAGAATGTATAAACACTCATAACTGGTTTTTTTGTTAATAGATAAATACATGGATAAGTGTAGAAATAAGGACTTGTCCTCTTAGGCCATTTGTAAAGAGATTTAGTATATAAATGTAAAGCTCCCACAACCCAGGGAAACAAAACACTTATTCCCTTATCATTATAAATAATTTAAATATTTTAAGTTCAATATGTGAACTATCTCAGGGTATTCTCTAAGCTAGTGCTTAGGGGCTGGAGAGGTGACTCAGTCAGCAAAATACTTGCTTTGTTTGCAAGGTGGGGACCTGGGTTTGATCTCCAGAAGCCACTTTAAAAAGGCAGGTGTTGTAGAGAACCCCCGTGTTGTTTGTGGATATGGCGGTACACTACTTCACAACAATCCTCGGTGAAGGGCTAAGATGTAAATGAAGACAAAGACAGTGGCTCATTCTTACAAGGAGAATGGCGTTTATTTTAACCAGGGTGGAGCCTTATATACCAAAGGCAGGTATGGTGGAAAAACACCAAGGTCAGAAGCCTACATTCCCAGGGCCCTCCAGCAAAGGGTGAGCCAAAAACAGGAATTAGCATTTAGACAATAAGGATGGACAGAAAACAGGAACTTGCACTCAGGCCTTACGGGGAGGAGGGGGACAAGAAGTGTTTTGCCAAAAGCTCCTAGTCACAGGCTGTCAACCGACCCCCATGGGGGAAGGGTGCAACAGGTGTGACCCCAACTCTGAGGGCGCAGAGATGGGCAGAATTCTGTGTCTCACTAGCCAGTCAGCCTCACTTCCTTGGTGAGCTCCAGGCAGAAAACGAGAGAGGCCCTGTCTCAAAACCCAGAGGACAGGCTCCTGATGAGTGTCCCCGCGCTTGTCCTTTTCTCTTTCGCATGAGCATGTATGCACACAAACTAACATAGGGTTTATTGTTGGATTTAAATCTACTTTAGGTAGCCTTTTACTAACTTCTATTTTGACTAATTTATAAGAATTTATTGAGTTGCCATTATTCCTAACTTAGGAAGAATAGAAGAAACTTGATCTCTGCTGTCTGATAATTAGCTTTTGCTTATTGAAAACAAAAACTGTTAAGTGCACTTACACAGTCGCAAAGAAACTGCTTCGGTGTCTTCACGTGCTCACATCTCCAATCAGGCCTGTCATGAGCCTGCCTCACTGAAGTGTCTGTATTGTCTGAGGGCCCCTCTGAGAGGAGGCTGTGACATCAGGGACAGTTCTGGGTTAAGTGTGCCAATATGTTTAGATGCTCAGCCTTTTCCTTTCGGAGACTGAAGTACAAGCAGTGTCCACCAAAGTGGTTTGGACTACCTGCATCAGAATTAACTGGAAGTTTGGGTTTTTAAATGAAGTTTCTAGGCACTCACTATACCATTTTTAGGTGACTGAAGTTGATTCTTGCTGACCAGAATGGAGTTTAGTGACCGTCTGTGGTGTGGTGCTTGTGTGACAGAATAAATGGGGGTATTAGGAGTTCTAACTTTATAATGTACTGTCTTTAAAGGCAAGATTTGTGAGGGTTTGTATCTGGAATGGAAGTGCCCATTCTAAAACTTTTCCTGCTAGAAACCATCACTGTTTTGGACTTAGTAACTTGAGCTTTGTTTTGTCTTTTTTTTTTCTTGTTAGGTGGAAATTAAAAGTGGAGCACACGATTATTACAATGTTCTTCCCAATAAGACACTGTGCAGTGCATATATGGAGAATGGGAGGAAGCTGGGAATAGAATTTATCTCAGAAGATGCAATATTGAATGGGCCTTCAGGTAACTATGCTGCCATGGAGTGAGATGTTTGAGCAAGAGAAATGCAAGTAAGATTTAACAGTCTGGAGAGGCAAGGAAGAACTGCCGATGTGCCTGCTTCCAGCAAGGTCTTTGTGTAGCCCAGGCTAGCCTCAAACCCCATGTGTAGCTGACGTTGACCTTGACCCTCCTGCCTCTACTTCCCAAATGCAGGGATTACAAATCCCTGCTACCACATCTGGGGTTTATTAGATGCTGGGGATTGACCCCAGGCTTCCTGCATGTTAAGCAAGCATGCTGCCAACCCTGACGGTGTTTTGAAGAATGTGTATCAGTATTTTGCCTGCCTAAGTATCTGCATGTCATCGGCGTACCTGGTGCCCTGGAAGGCCAGCAGGCCAGCACTGTATTCTCTGGAACTGGAACATGACAGTTTGGTACTCTGCAAAAGCAGCAAATGTTCTTAACTGAGGGGCCATCTTTCCATCTCCCTGATGATATTTTTAATGATATTCCTTCACACTTAGGTTGAAAAGAAAACTAATGAACTCTTCAGTGAGTGTAGAGTGTCACAATAGCATCACTGTTTTAAAAAATGGCCAGTCTGCTACGGGTATTCTTGTACTTGATGTTTGCTTTTGGTCTGTCAACTTCCCAGTAAAGACACAGAGACTTATTAATTATAAATACTTGGCCTTAGCCTAGGCTTATCCCATTATATCTCTTAATTTAACCTGTCTCTGTTCATCTGTGTTTTGCCTGGGGCTTTTTAAACCTTTTCTTCATTCTGTGTGTCCTACTGTCCTGCTTCCTCCATGTCTGTCTGTCTGTCTGGCCCCTGGTGTCTCTTTTTCTTTCTTCCCAGAGCCTAAATTTCTCTTCCTACTTGCTCTACCAGTCGGGAAGCCCCGCCTATACCTCCTCCACTGCTATTGGCCATTCAGCTTTTTATTAGACCAATCAGGTAACATAGGCAGGCAAGGTGACACAGCAACACATCTTTACACAGTTAAAGAAATATTCTGCAACATATTCTAAATATTTCTAGTGTTTAAATTTAATTCTATTTTTTTTCTTGTGATACTAGGGATCAAACCCAAAGCTTTAAGTATGCTAGGCAAGTGCCCTCCCACTAAGCTATGCCTCCAGCTTTTACTTTCTAATAAATAAGCTACACAACGTGAAACAGAGCTTAAGACCTTTTCAGTTTATTACAGTAAGCAGGTTTTTTAAGTATTTAGTGATCTAGTGCATTTTCTGATTCTACAGGTTAATTATATGTGACATTCATTTATTTATTGAGACCAGGTATCTTAGTTAAGGTTTCTATTGTGACAGTGAAGCACCATGACCCAAAAGCAAGTTGGGGAGGAAAGAGTTGTTTTAGGGTTTTTATTGCTGTGAAAAGACACCATGACCATGGCAACTTTTATAAGGAAAACATTTAATTGAGGGGGCCTGCTTACAGTTTCAGAAGTTCAGTCCATTATCATCATGGTGGGGATGATGGCATTGAGCAGCCAGACATGGTGCTAGAGCTGAGAGTTCTGCATCTTGCAGGCAACAGGAAGTCAACTAACTGTCACACTGAGGGAAGCTTGAGTAAAAGAGACCTCAAAGCCTGCACCCACAGTGACACACTGTCTCCAGCAAGGCCATACCTCCTAATACCCACTCCCTTTGGGGGCCATTTTCTTTTAAACCACCACAAGGTTTATTCAGCTCACACTTCCACATCACTGTTCAACACTGAGGGAAGTCAGGACAGGAACTCAAACAGGGCAGGAACCTGGAGACAGGAGCTGATGCAGAGACCGTGGAGGAGGCTGCTTACTGACTTGCTTCCCATGGCTTGCTCAGCCATCTTTCTAATAGAACTCAGGACCACCAACCCAGGGATGGCACCACCCACAATGGGCTGGGTCCTCCCCCATTGATCATTGATTGAGAACATGACTTACATTTGGATCTCATGGAGGCATTTCGTCAACTGAGGCTCCTTCCTCTTTGGTGACTCTAGCTTGTGTCAAGTTGACACACAAAACCATGTTTTACTGTATATTGTCTAGGCTGGCCTTTGCCTTGTGGTCCTCCAGATTGAGGCTTTTGATTTCTGGGATTACATGTGTGTGCCACCACACCTAGCTTGTTAGAGTGTTGTGTGTGTGAATTATGTATGCACTATGTGCATGTAGGAGCCCTCGGAGGTCAGAAGAGGTCATCAGATCCCCTGGAACTAGAGTTACAGGTAATTGTGAGCTGCTGTGTGGGTGCTGGGAATTAAATCCCAGGTCTTCTGCAAGAGCAGCCAGCAATCTTATGCACTTAGCCATCTCTCTGTCCACTATTTTTAAAGTTTTTATTATTATATGTATGTGAGTGTATGATGCATGTGTGTGATTGTGCATACCACAGCATGTGTGTGGAGGTCTGTGGACAACTTTGTAGGGTGTTCTCTCTTTCATGTTCCATGTGGGTTCCAAGGATCAAAGTCAGCTCACCAGGCTTGTGCAGCAAGTGTTGTTATCACTGAGTTATCCTTGTTTGGTGTTATTTTAGGTTCTTTCCTCTTTTAAGCACACTACTAATAACATTTTAAAAATAGCTACATCTCCTGAATAAAATGAGATATTGATGATGTAGAACCATGAAGACTTGGTGATAAAAATAGGTGTCAGTGTCATTCACTAACAAGGGCACTTCTGGAATCTTACAGGCTAGAGTAAATTATTAGGATGTAAAATTGAAGTACTTGTAGGATTTTGATGTGGAGCTATTCGGTAGCCTGGATTTGAGTTTAGAGCCCCCCAAAATGTCTAGGCTGGAGGTCTAGGGTTTGCTGATATGTGTGGATGAAGAAGACACAGATGTTAATGCAGTTACTCAAATGCATAGAGAAGACAGAGATGAAACACTGAAACCAAGGTTTAGAGGAGGTAGGCAAAGCAAGGAGACAGTAGTGAGAGACAGCTAGATAATCAGGGATGGATGGGGAGGCCATGGAAGCAAAGACAGCAGAGAATAATGTCGGATGCTACAGAAGTAGAGTAAGCGTTGTTCTGTGTTCATTGAACCATCAATAGAAATGTATTGTTGGTCTGGAAGTAAATAGGTGGACTAGTGAACCAGACATGGGTTCTTAAGGCCCTACCCACCACTCTGGTGAGACAGTACAGATAGCCAAAAAAAATCATTGTTAAGAAAGTTAGTTTTAGCAGCTGGGCATAGTAACTCACACCTTTAATCCCAGCACTTGGGAAGTAGAGGCAGGCGGATCTCTGTGAATACAAGTCCACCCTAGTCTACAAAGTGAGTTCCAGGACAGCCAGAGCTGCATAGGAGATCCTGTCTTGGAAAAGAAGGAGGAGGAGGAGGAAGAGGAGAAGAGGAAGAAGAAAGTTAGTTTTAACTGAAAACAGAGTGGATACAAACAGGAAAGAAAACATTTTTATAAGAAAACTCGAGATAAGTAGATGCAGAAAAGAGTAAGAGTTCAGAGGCCCCTCCCTGGGAAAGGGTGGACACAAGGATTGTGGTGGAAAGCTAGAGGGTTAAATAATTGAGTGCTGGTCTATGCAGCAAATAAACTAAAAGTGCAATGAAACAGATTAGTGTGGTTCTGCAGATTTGTGACGCTTCCCATGGGCTTAAGAAAAGTTGGGGAATTTTGAGTTAAATCAGTGGGATATGTGTATACCTATCTTTCCATGAAGCATACACATATACACACTCAAACATTTATTTTCAGATAAGGGTCTTATGCAACCTGGGCTGCCTTTGAACTTGTTATGTAGCTGAGGGTGACCTTGAACTGATCATTCCTGCCTCTACCTCCTGAGTGTTGGGATTATGTCACCCATGTTTGGTTTGTGCAGTGCTGGGGAGCAGACCCAGGGCTTCATGCATGCTCTTGGCAAGCCCTCTTCAAGTATGTACCCCATCGTGGGGGCTACATTACTGTTACTCTCCTGGTTTAGTACAGGGTTGTAGTTTTGTAAGACGTCACCACTGGGAGATATAAGATAGGAGATGTATAGACTCTCTGATAGCTTCCAAATAAATGACAAATAGAGAGATAATGCCATCAAATCTGTGCTCACAGCCTCTAGCAGAAGCTGATTCCAGAAGCTGAGGCAGTCTGCTAGAGTTCCCAGTTACACTTTCTCTCCACAACTGAACTTCCTACTGCATTGTTTAGATGATAGGGTAACCAATGCAACTCTTGGACATGGTTGACTCATCGCTATGCTCCAGGATACAGCACACTTACACTTTGGCTGCTTTGCTCACAGTTAGGAGAGTCAGCACATCCTCAGTCAAGGAACCCTGGAGAACACTTCAGACAAACATACTTGGGTCCGAAATGGGGTGGGGACAACTGTTCCAGAACCAACTTCTCAGTGAGCTCAATAAACACAAGACAGTTTACTTGTGTACTGTACACCACAGAGTGCTTAGTGTAATTATCAGAAACTGCACCCCGAACCCCAACCTCCAAACCCTAACCTCCACTTACCTTTGCCTGGGTCTCTAAGACTTGGTTTCTTCCTTCACAAAATGAGAACTGTTCAAATGTAAATGAGAAACCTGGGTGTAGTGTATGTAACTATAATCCCAGTTCTCAGGAAGTTGAGACAGGAGGATCACAAACTTCAAGTCTGTCCAGTGCTATATATCAAGAATCCGTCTTAAACAAAGGGACAAAATGTAAAAGTTAATAATGTGAGAATGTATATGAAATTTTTAGACTTTTAAGCAAAGTAATTTCTGTTGCTATTGGCTGCATATTTTGATTTCCTTCCCTTACATCTACCCTTGTGTGGTCTAAGTGCCTTGCATGGTGTTTAACTTATTACTAAATGTTCATTAAATTAGCCTATTCACATGTTAGCTGAATGTGTCATGTGACCAGCTGGATGTGTGGCAATTTAAAATACTGTTCTTGACTAATGAATTGGTAAAAGACATTAGCCAAATAACCTAATAAGTTGTAAACTAAAACTGAAAAGCGATATTGTTATTATTGTACATACTGTAAATCCCTCCAGTAGAGAAACCGATCTTACCAGGGAAGTGAGAAGGGCTGGCTTAGGGAATGGTAGATGATGGGGTAATAGCAGGACTGGGAATGTAGCTCATTCGGTAGAGGGCTTGCCTCGCATGCATGAAGCCCTGGGTTCTACCCCAGACTTGTATAAAACAAGTATAGTGGCGTCTGGTGTAATTCAGTTCTTGAGAGAGAGAGGCAGGAGGATCAGAGGCTCAAGGTTATGCTTAGCTACATACTGAGTTTGAGGCCGTCCAAAAAGAAATAGAAATTTAAAAACATGAAGAGTATATGCAGAAGTCCTATGGTCAGCAGAGTATGGTGGCTGTTCTGAGCAGCTGTAGAAGGTTAGTGGGATTGTTAGCATGTTTCTGAGCTGTTCGGGAGGTGGTGTTCGTAGGTGGTATGTATGATGATAATGAATTTGACTCTAGCTGTGTTGAGTGTGGTCCACTGTAAGACATCCATGGGAGAAGTATCAGGTGGACAGTACGCTGTGTAAGCAGGAGGGCTGGAGGAGAACTAAGAATGCATTATGGTTTACTGAATAGAAGCAGTAAATAGGGGGAAATCTGAGGGCATGGTGGGAGAAGAGGAAAGGACTGGCATCAGGTCTCAAGGAACCGGTCTTTCACAGAAGAGGGGCCTGTGTCCTGAGACAGGAGGAGCCATCAGAGTTCACAGTGGGGCACTAGTGGGGCAGGCTTGGTGACTGGGCAAGGACAGTCTGGAGATCCCTTTGTGAGAGCAGGTGGCCATGGTGGAGGCAGGAGTGAGTGTAAGCACCTCAGACAGCTCTCCCCATCCTGACAGGCCCGAGGCTCATGGCCCAGTATAGGATTCTAGTTACAACTTCAATCAGAGTGTTTAACCAAACGTCCTTTTCTTCCTTCTTTGTGTCAAGGCTCTACTGATTTTGGAAATGTCAGTTTTGTGGTTCCTGGGATTCACCCGTATTTTTACATTGGGACTGATGCCTTGAACCACACGGAACAGTACACGGAAGCTGCCGGTGAGCATGCGGTGTGGATGCTCAGGATTCTCTCCCTCTGCCTGCTGGGTACTGCTCTTTAGCCTCTTACTCTTTAATGCTGCTTCAGGAAATACCGTCTTGTGCTCAGAAGTAGGACAGGCGGTTTAGAGAAGAAACCCGGGGAATTAAAAAATGCATTTTAATACAAATAGAGGTATTTTAATTTGTTTTCTTTACCTTTCAGGGTCAGAAGAAGCTCAGTTGTACACCTTGCGTACAGCCAAAGCTCTGGCAATGACTGCCCTGGACGTCATCTTTAAGCCTGAGTTGCTGAAAGGAGTCAGAGAGGAGTTCAAATCGAAGCTTCAAGAAGAACAGCTTTTAAATAGACCAGCATAGAAGGAGGACTTAGGGACTGCACAGGAAGCACTAAATTTTGATGTTTGTTTTTCCCCTCTAAAGCTTTTTCAATGCAACAGGATATAGCGAAGACACTAATGGACTTTGTGATATTTCAGGCATTGGTATGTGATACCATTTCTTAAGCTAGATGGTTTGTGAGTATCTACCATGGTAAGGTAATGTTTTGTAAGTGTCTTTTGTATAGTTTTAAAACTCAACACTCATGAACTCTGTGTTCAGAGTAGTGGATGTCTTTTCAGCAGTTTAAAGTTGGGGGAGTATAAGTCTGGCTGGATCTGTTTTGATCTAGAGAAAAAAATTAACCATATGCTTGTAGGACACACCTAGAATATCTGGTATGAAGAATTAGCTTTCCTTTTTTTTCCTTATTTTTTATTACATTTTTTTTTTTTAGAAAAGAGCTTGCTTCACATGTCAATTGTAGTTCCCTCTCTCTCCCCTCTTCCCGCACCCCCCACCACCACTCTCCAGCCTCCCACCCTATCCCCCGCTTCCTTCCACATAGGGGATATCCAGAATCTGTCATTTTACTCAGGGCAGGGTCCAGGCCCTCCCCCAAGAGTCCAGGCTGAGAGAGCATCCCTCTTTGTATTATGGACACATGAAGTCAATTTGTATGCCAGGGATAAATATTGATCTACTTATTGCCCAGGGCCCCATAGGTTGTCCAGGCCTCTTCACTGACTTTCACATTCAGAGGGTCTGGATCAGTCCCATGCTGGCCTCCCAGCTGTCGGTCTGGGGTCCAAGAGCTCCCCATTGTTCAGGTCAGCTGTCTCTGCTGGTTTCGCCAGCCCATTCTTTGCCCATTTGCTCATTGCTCCTCTCTCTCTGTCACTTGGTTCCAGGGGTTCAGTTCAGTGTTTAGCTGTGGGTGTTTTCCTCTGCTTCCATCAGTCACTGGATGAAGGTTCTAGGATGGCATATAATTGACGACTACCTTATAGCTTTTAACAATTTTTTTTAAAAAAGAATGTTCTTTATTTGCATGTAATTACTCTAAGAAGTGGCATAGCAGCAGTGTAACAGTCAATAACAGAAAAAAAATGACAGAAAGGAAGGGTTGGGCTTTTCCAATAGGGTAGGCTGTTGAGTGGTACCCAGGATGCTACAAGAAGAGGAGTATAGTCTGTGTGTGCTCTGTCCTCCAGGGCCCTGCACTGGCTCTTACCACCCAGCAGCCAGCTGCTCTGCAGAAGCCTTCCTAAGCCCCTGTTGGCCCAGCAGTAAAAGAAACTTGGAAAGGCATCCCCGTGTCCTCATGCTGTGGCTTAGCTAAGTTCCTAGCCTTTTCTCTGGACCTTTTGCCTTCTCAACTCACGTTCTGCCTTTGTGTCACCAGAGCATTTGCAGATACAAAAAAGAGTTCTTATTATGAGACAGCTAGGATTTTACCTGGAAATTTGAACCATTTCAGTGGTTGTCAACAATAATGCTGGAAAAGATGGGGAGAGATCAACATTTTCTCATGATTCTTACTTGGTCATGAGTTTCTGTTTGGTAAGACTGAGTTTCCGACAAGTTTTCCTTTTGCGCATGGCACACCACCATTCAGTGTGAACTTTTTGCACATGATAAGAGAGTGAAAAACTGATAAAACAGACTCTCAGGCACTAGTGTACCTTGTGGAGTCTCAGATTTGAGGAAGCACACTAGAAATGGAAGTGGACGGAGGCAGCAAGGTGTGTCTGGCTTCTGGGGCAGAAGGCAGTCACTTTCCCTGTCCACTGGGAGGCTAGTCTCCTGCAGGCCTCTGGCCTCTGCTCCCTGCTTAATGTGCGCTTTTGCTCTCTGCTGTACCCTGACTTGATCTGGAGCTGGTGTTTGTTGCTCGCTTGCTGTTGTGCAGCCAGTATACTAAGATTATTTTTTGCATTTTTCGAGTTTAAAAAAAGCCACTACCACAAAACAAAGTATTTACTGTCTGGCCCTTCACAAAACAAACAAACAAACTTGCTAGCCCGCTCCATTCGACTGTTTACTTCCATCCTCTGAGATGTTCTGGGTAAAGCTTCAAGCCTTGTGTTGAGAACACTTGAGTGTGTAGATGGGGACTCCCTGAAGTAGTGATCTGGACTGTTCCACTCTCAGACTTTACTCTGCACCCCAGCTCAGAGCAGCATTGAGAACTCACTCCTTCCTGACACGGTTTGTCTGGATGTTCACAATTGAGTTCATCATATTTGGTACCATTTTATAAAGAGGCGTATTCATGAAAGCTGCAAAGAAGAAGACACGTCAGAGATGTGGTTTATATGATGGAGTTTATCTCCTCAGTAACAGGTTTTCGAGTATCTCACATCCTAAGGAACAGGTTTTTGCTGGTTGGTTTGGTTTTGGTTATTGCAGTGCTGAATACTGAGACCAGGGCCTGGCTCGTGCAAGACAGGACCTCTGACACTGAGCTGCATCCCCACCCAGCTTAGGACAGGGCATTGGTTTCATGTCCTAACCCTTGACAAAATTAGACAACAGCGATTGTTACTGATGTACCCATCCTCTGCAGATGGATTACAGCTGTTACTTAAATGCGTGTTCTGCACTTGATTTACTTTTTTAAAGGTAAAATTAAATTTTACTCATGGATAAACAATGGCACTTTTTTAGGTAAAGAAGGGAAGGCCCTGGTTTTTTCTTGGGTTGGTTGCTGTTGTTTTACATAGAACCTTGTGTGCTGCCTTGACCAGACTGGTCTCAAACTCTAGCCCAGCCTGAGCAGCTGGACAAGAGGGATGTGCCATTGTGCACAGCTTTTGTTCTCAAGAGATGAATGCTTGATTTTAGAAAGTTGATAATACTTAATGTGGAGTATTGTGTGTGTGTTTTTTAAAGAATGCAATCAGGTTAATTTGGTGAGACTTTAATCATTTAATAGAGTTTATAATTACTGATTTTTACACTAGATTCTATATTTGAAGTCCGTGTCTGTAGGGTGTTTTACACTTTTCATATCTAGCACAGCTGCTAATTGTTGGACCGACTGCTGGCTTCCTTGGACTCACCTAGGGTCAGCCAGCTTTCTTTAGGCCTCTGCAGTCTAATGACACAGCTTAGGATGTCGTGTTTGGGTGTGTGAGAGGTTAGTATTTTCAGGTAAGCAGTCTCTGCTATCATGATTGTAGTAAGTTTTATAATGTTTTAATAGATGCATATTAAAGTTTATGGAAAAATATAAAATGTCTGTCTTTATGTAATAGTTAATTTTAATGACATACATATATCAAAATAGAGATTTCTTAAATATGAAGCATAAACACCCAAATACAAGGTTGTGTACTATTTTCTTATTCATAGAATTGTGGAGTTGTTTTTTTTATTACCTATGTAGATGTTGTATTTATATATTATGAATTTTAAGACTAAGTCTTTTGTTTAAAAATGAGTGTTTAGGCAAAGCATAGTAGTCACGCCTTTAGTCACAACAACGAGGTGGCAGAGGCAGATGGCTTTCTGTAGACTTGAGACCAGCCTGGTCTACATAGTGAATTCCTAGACAGCCAGGGCTGCAAAGTGATATCCTATGCTGAAAACAAAACAATAAATCAAACTAAAGTTGAAATGAGTGTTCTATTTCTCCAAGAAACTGAAAACTAGCTACCTCTGTGGTAAGAGTCAGGTACATATTACAGCATCTCACTTGTTTCCCCTTTTACAAAAATCTCTACCTTCTCTAGACAGTAGTTCAGAACAGATTTCAGTTTTTACCAAAGCTTAAAGATCTCCTGTGATAAAAACAAATGTCCACAGGCCTTTGTGTGAGCTACTGTCTTACAAGATAGAGCTGTCGTAGGGTTTCTGTTGTGAAAAACATCATGATCAAAAGCAACTTGGGGAGGAAACTGCTTATTTCAGCTTACAGTCCACTGTCAGGGGAATCAGGGAAGGACCCAAGGCAGGAACTCAGAAGCAGGATCTGATGCAGAGACCATGGAGGAGCACTGCTTACTGGCTCATTCAGCCTTATCCTATCTGGGACCACCAACCCAGGGTGGCATCTCCTACATCAATCAAGAAATGTGACAGGCTGATCTGGTTGGGGGCATTTTCATAGTCTAGATTCCCTCTTCCCAAATAACTAATGTATCAAGTTGACATAAAAATAGCCAGCATAAGCGCTCCAGATTTTTTAAATTAATTTTAAATTAATTTTTGTCTTTTTAAGATTCAGTCGAATTGTGTAGCCCAGGCTGACCTTAAACTTACTATCCTTCCTCAGCCTCTCAAAGTCTAGGATTACAGGCATGTGTCTCCAAGCCCCACCCTATCCCCATTATTTCCTTATGTTTAGTTCAGTGTGAATTATTTTTATTTCATTGATCTAGAATTGAACAAAAAGGAATATAGGTGATGTCATATTTTTAAAAATGACAAAAAAGAGGATAATTCACAAGGTTGTTGAGATGGCTACTGGTCATTTAAGCCCGTCCCCAGAACTGACTCTACCAAGTTGTTCTCTGACCTTCACACATGTGCCCACATCACATATCACATACAATAGTAACAAGACTTTAAATAAGAAAGGGAAATTCCAAACGCTGGCCTCCAGTTGATTATGTAGCTGAGCCAGGTCTTGAATTGACCCACCTGCCTTCACCTGGGATTACAAATGTGCACCACCATAGCTAGAATGCAAAGCACAGATTCCTTTATTTTTTCTTTTTAATTAAAACAGTATATTCTGATCATAGTTTCTCCTCCTCCAGATCCTCCCCACATCCCCACCTATCCAACTCCATGCCTTCTTTCTCTCTTTAGAAAACAAATAGGCAAATAAATAAATAAATAGAAAAACACAAGAACCTCCCCCATAAAACCCATATAAACAAAATCAGAAGCCATAATATACAAACAAAAAGTCAGTAAGATAAAAATGCCCAAACAAAGCACTATTAGACAAAAAAATTAGAAAACACCATTGAGTTCATTTTATGTTTGCCAGCTACTGCTGGGTGTGGGGCCTTTAGTGTGGTTTATATACCCAGTGAGACTTCATTGGTGAAAACTAATTTTTCCTTTGCAACTGGTTGTCAGTTGGAGATAGCTTCTTCGTTGTGATAGGAGCTTGTGTTTACCTCCCCGTTTGGAACTAGGACCCCATCTGGCTTGAACTTCTATAAACCTTGTGTGTGCTGCACAGTCTCTGAGTTCATATGTGTATTGACCCTGTTTTGTCTAGAAGACACGGTTTCCTTAGAGTCATCCATCACCTCTGGCTCTTACAATATTTTCTCCTTCTCTTTTCCACACAGATCCCTGAGTCATGAGGGGAGAGGAGGTTTGATGAAGACATCCCATTTAGGACTGATCTTATTCTGCACATTGTCTGTTGCGGGATCCCACCTGGG